GTTTTCTCATTTTTACAAATCTGTTTGGTGTCCAGCTTTCCAGAGGGAGGGCTTCTCAGACCAGCTTCTGCATCTGTCTCCCGACGTAAGTCATCCTTATTGCGTGTGATTTTTGTCACAGGACACGCGAGTCATGGACATACCGGTTCACTAATGTGTACCTCCAACTGTTACCGCACTTCCTTGCACAACGCGGAAGAGTGACATTTTTGTTACCACCACCCTCTGTCTCATGGAAAAGTCAGGGATTGGAAAGCGGTCATGCTCCTGGCAGGTCCCAACGGTACGGGTCGTCTCGGGGAGCCGGACGGCACCGCTGGCGACAGGCGCTGCCCGTCCCCCAGAGGCGGGCTCGGCAGCTGGCCCCGGAGAGCGGCCCGGCCCTTCGGCGGCGGGTCCCGCTTGCTGCGCAGGCGGTGCCCTCGGCAGGAAAGCTCTCTGCCTTGCCCTTGCCTCGCAGAGATCTAGCAGCATGGACGGTTCTTACCGCTCAGCGGGACCCCCGTGAGAGGCAGCGGCCTCGGTGTGCCCGGCTCACTGCCCGCGGCAGTCCCGGCGCAGGCCTCCGGCTTGGGTGCCTGCCGTGAACCTGAGGGGCGCGGGGGCGGGCCCGCCTGGCTCCCCACCTTGCTCTCCATGGCCCTCCGGGCAGCGGCCGCAGGAGCCCGAGCGGCCTAAGCACGCCAACTGGGGCGCGGCGCCCCGTGGCCGGGCAGGTCAGAGCGGGTCCGGCCGCGAGCCTGAGCGGACCGGGCTGAAGGCGTCCGCACAGCCCTCATGGCCACCCGTTTTCGCTCCGCTCGGCCTTCGTCCCCTGCGAGGAGCTGACAGGTACGAGCAGGCAGCTGCCAGCAGCTCTGAAACCGCGCTTGCTTCTCATTCGAGGAGGATTCCCAGGCCCGTGGAGGGTTCCGGTGCCCAGCTGGGGCCGCGGGTCTCCCGGGGGTGCTCCCTGGTGTTGGGGGTGGGGGAGAAGGCGCCGGGGGTCAGACACAGCTGCTCGCACCCCGGGCCCTGCCTTTTGAGTTTCTAACGAATAGCAAAGAGGATCAGCCAAACTGCTCACGATCGGCGCCTGGGCCCGTCTCTGGCCCCTTCGCCTGCCCTGGAGGCTACGGCCCCCTCCGTGTGGAGCCTGGCCTGCCCACGCTGCAGCAGGGCGAACCCCAGCCTGTCTGAGGACCGGCAGGGCGTGGGTGCAGGGGGCGGCCTCCTGAAAACGCGAAAGGCGCTGGGGAGAAAGGGCCTAACAGGACGGCTGGGCCAGAATGGGCAGCTCCGCTGGCGCCTGGATAAAAAGCGCTGTTTCTGGGTGTTTCACAAAAACGAGCTCACGGGAGAGTTGGCGGTGAACCCCGAGGTCCGGCTGTGAATGAACAGCGGGAGCAGCGAGACGCAGTGAGCCCACGGGACTCACGCCGCCCAACGAACCTGGCACGTTCACAAAAGGCACAGAAAGTGACAGGGGACCAACAGAGTGACGTGGGTGCAGAGATACAGGCGTTCCCGAAACCGTGCTTTTTTGTGTATGTTTGAAGAATTCCAACAATGCTTAGGAAGAGTTAGGGTATTTTGAATTAAGAACTAAGCCATCAGTGCATGTAAACTTCCTGAACTGAAAAAAGGGGGCAACGTTCCGACACGGCTGCCAAAGGCCAGCAAACCCTGTTCAAAGTCATCGGAAGGGGAGCGTTCCTCTGGTCTCCGTACGCTTTGAGATGGGGCAGACGCGCGCGGAGCCCCCGGCTCCTCCTGGGGAGCGCGGCCGACCGCAGCCTGCCCGTGGGCCGCCCCGAGCCGCCTCGTGCTCCCAGGCAGGAATGGGACCCAGGGTTCGCCGCCGCGTACACAGGCCCCGCTCGCTCTGCACCCGTCGCCCGGGACCTGGGAAGCCAGTTCCCGGGATGTGTTCCACATCCCAGGCCGACGTTGCAGGAGAGCATCTGCAGAGTCCTAAGTCGAAACCTTCCCTCTCCCCCTCCGACAAAGGGTGAGACAAAGGGTGAGCTCGCGATGGAGAAGTTGTCTAACAGAGACAAAGGAAACACTTCGGGGCGGCAGATGCTCATCCCACACACAGCCCACAAGAACGCCCACAAGAACACCTTTTCCCAAACACCGCTGAGCCCCAGCGGGCGTGGCTCAGCAGACTGAGCGCCGGCCTGCAAACCAAAAGGCTGCTGGTTGGATTCCCAGTCAGGGCACAGGCCTGGGTTGCAGTCCAGGTCCCCAGTTGGGGATGTGCAAGAGGCAACAGATCAATGTATCTCTTATACGTTGCTGTTTGTCTCCCTTTCTTTCTCCCTCCCTCCCTCCCTCCCTCTCTACAGATACATAAATAACTCTTTTTAAAAAAAACACTGCAAAAAGTTCAGAAATAAGAGGTAAGACCGATGATCAAAGTGGCGATCGGTGAGTGGCCGTGCCCACCGCAGGCGGAGCTCCGAGCGCTGCCACCGCCACCCACGGGCCTGGGTCTGGCATGAGGCCGCACCGGCCGACCAGCGGGACCGTGGGTGGCGGCGGCCTGTGCGAGCTTGCTGGCTGCTGGCACCAGAATTGTCTTAAATGGTAGCAAGCTGGTCGGTGCTTAGACGTATCCAATTTTGCAAAACAGTGTAAGAGGTGCTCCCGATTTCCAGAGATGTAAACAAGAGGCCAGTCTTCAAAATAATGTCAATTAGGCTTTGTTCTGGGGGCCGAACCGGTTTTGTCTGCTCCAGGGTTTCAGAGACGGGCCTGAGGGCAGAGCAGCAGGAACACGAGCCCGCCGAGCCACGGGAAACCTAAAGCGGGCGTTCGGACTGTCTTCTCAGACACAGAACCCCGCAAGGATGTAACAGTAATAGAGATGGAAATGTGAACCACAGGGTAGTTTTCCAGAGAGCAAATCTCACGAACACAGAGCCAACTTGTACCAGTAAGACAGCCCAGGGGCAAGCACCTGCAGGGGGTGTCCGATGTCCAGTGACGTTGCACCTTGGAGCCCTTTCCGTCCCCACGGGCTCCCACTGTCCAGGGACGCTTGAAGGGGTGGGGGTGGGGGTGCTGGTCTCACCTCCGCCAGCCCAGCCCCTCCCACCCCACCCCACCCCCCGCCAGTCCCGAGCCAGAGCTGGTTTCTGCGGCCTCCCGCCCTCCCGACCGCGCCGGGTGCCTGCTCTGGGCCGGGCGCTGCTCTGGGCCGGGCGCTGCTCTGGGCCGGGGCGCACGGCAGCGGGCACATGGAGACATGGAGAAGTCTCCGCTCTCAGAGCTCACACTCCTGTGAGGGGGCGGCCGGAGGCACACGCGGGTCGGACGGCGGCAACGCTGGGCAGGGGCACTCGTACAGCACAGGTGAGGGGGACTAGGGAGGGGCAGAGAGGGGGTGGGTCCGGGAGGGGAGCGGGGAAGCAGAGTGTGCGGTGTGGCTGGCCAAGCAGGGTGCTGAGTGACACTGGGGAGGACGCAGGAACGAGGGGGCAGAGGGACCCACGAACACATCTGCCGGGAAAGGGCGCCAAGCAGGGTGGGCACAAGAGCAGGGCCTGAGGCCAGAAGGCTGAGCAGGGGGTGGGCGCAGTGAGGCGGGGCGGGCGGCCCTCGGAGCCCCGGGCTGCGGCCTCTGTGCTGCGAGCAGCCTGGAGGAGGCGGGGCGAGGGTGCGGTCCCGGAACAGAGGCCAAGGGGCCACGGGGCCGGACCCCTGCGGCCGCGGTGGGGCGATCAGACTCGGCGGCATGCTGTACGGAGGCCACCAGACACCCGTTATGAACCGGTCGCTTTCTAAGGGCAGCGGGAGCTGACCGGTCCTCTCTGCGCTGGCTCTGCCTTTCCTGTGCACGCAGCCCCTGGGGAAGCCGAGAGCGGCCTCGGCCGCACCTCCTGAAGCCCGTCCGGCCAGTCAGGGTGGGCCAGCCGGCGAGTGTCACCGCCCTGCCTCCCCCGACTCAGGACGGGCCCGAGGCAGCAGCCCGGCGGCCGCCCACGCCCCAGGCACTGGGAACCGGTGAGCCTGGCGTCTCCCCAAAGGCATGGAGCCAGGCCCGGTCAGACCCCCATCCGGCTGCCAACCTGCAGGGCACGAGGGCGGGAGGTAGTGCTGGGTGGCACCATGAGCGCAGGGACAGCGAGACTTGGGCCGCAGGACACAGGTGGACCGATGGCTGGGGGCCAGAGCAGACGGACCGCAGGGAACAGGACAGAGGGGCCTGAGCCAGAGACGTGGCGCAGAGACGAGCCAGCCGCCCCCGAGACACGGGACGCCATCTCCGTGGGAGGCAGGTCCGGCCCGCAGGGAGGGCGCCTGGGCCGCCGCCCGTGGGGGCGGGGCTGGCAGAGCTGGGTCCTGACCGGGCGAGGGCACGGGGCACCCACCTTGGAACAGCTACAGCTCGACAGCTCCCTACGTGTTCCGTGTCCTTTTGTTTCTGGGTGAAAGGGCAATAAAGACATCCATTAAGGGTCGTGTCCGACTTTTTTTTAAGCTTGCAGAGAGCTTTTAACAAAAACAGCCAGAGGAAGTTTTGGAAGGTTTATTGGCACACCCTGGTCTCCGAGAGTTGGGACTGTCCCCCGGCCCCAACCACAGCGAGCTGCCAGGCTGCGCGCCTGCAGGTCTGCGCGGTGCCGGGGCTCCGCGTGGCGAGGCCCAGCCCCGGCTGGCTGCCTCCCGCTGGCAGGGCAGGCGGCAGGGCCCACCCCCCCACCCCCGCCCCAGTCCTGAGACTCGGTCCCGCCGAGCGGAAGGTAAAGGAATCTTTCAGAACAGGCGAGACATCCCATCTGCGCTGCTCAACCAATGCTTTATTTACATTCTTCCTCCACGAAGCCCTAAAATGTTTGCCTAGACCACAGCGAGGCAACGAGAACCGTACCAAGCCAAACACATGACGGCGCGATCTCACAGAGGTCCGAAAACCCAGGGCCCTGAACGCTTCACACGCTGAAGCGGCGGCATCCCACGGAGCCGCAGACCGACGGGCTTCCCCTCCGCGCTGGTGCAGCAGGGCCCCGCAGTTCCCTCTGCTCGCCGCTGGTCGCGGAACAGCCACTGCCTGGAGGTTTCCGAGCGCGGCCAGGACCCCATTCAGACTTCGGGTTGCTTAGCTCCTTCCCGTGCTAACCTGTCGGCCTCTTCGTTGCCCGTGAGTCCCGAATGGCCAGGAACGTGCATCTGTGAAAGAGAGCATCCCTTTTCCTCCTGCACCCCCAGGGCGAAGAACTCAGCCCAGGGAGCGGGCAGAACAGGAGGCAGCTCCCGGGCCCCGCCCCGCCCCCACCCACGCTGAGGGGCACTGGATGCCCCTGCGGCCCAGGTCCAGGCCGCACGGGCGCGCGCTCCTTTCAGGTTCTCCGCAGGTTGGCCCCGCCGCCGCCGTGGTGCGCGCTCCAGGCAGAGCGCCTGCCAGTGCGCGGGGAGGGTGGGCGCCGACGCGCGTCACCCTCTGTGAGCGGGCAGGGGCCGCAGCGGGCGGCCACCACGGCGGGGCCTGGGGCGGGGACGGGCATGTACCTTGCTCTGGATTGTTCGAGAAAATAATTTTAACAGATACTGTGTGCTAAGAGAAAGAAACGTCCATTTTGGGAAAATAGTCACGTTCCTAAGGCCTTGCTCCCACCACTTCACCTTTAAGAAAACACATCCTAAGTTAGCTTTCTCTAACAAGACGCAGAAGCACCATCTCTCTGGTCAGCTGGGGCTGCTCGGTCCCAACAGCCACAGGACAGGGCCTGGGACAAGACTCACCCACCGGATGTCCATGCCCTGGACGAGCCTGTCCAGCTCCTCGAAGTCCTCCCTGTTGACCACCTCCTTCCCAGCGCTGGTCCTCCACCCGTTGTCCTTCCAGCCCTGCAGCCAGCTGGTGATGCCTGGAAGCCACGCCCCCCGCTGTGGGTCTGGCGGCCGCCACTCCCCGCCCCGGACGTCCCTCCTGGATCCCACGTGTGGTCCGCGTGGCGCCCTCAACGTTCCAACCCCTTCCCTGGGCCCTGTGCGGGCCGCCGGCAGACCTGGCTTCCTCTCTCTTCCCTTCACTCCCACTGCCCTCGACCCACAGCTCTCAGCCCAGGACGTCACCGCCCCCACAACCCCGCCCCGGAAGCCCCCCGCACCGCTCCCTGTGCCCCTGCACACGGTGCTCCCCAAAGACGCCCGCAGCACACGGTGCTCAGCGACCCACACACGCCGAGCTGCGACGGCCACCAGAGCAGGGCCACGTCTACCTTCCTGCCGTGCCTTAGCTCCTGGCGAAGGAACCCCTGGGTGGCAAATGCTGGAGCGGCAGGCCTGGGGCTCCAGAGCCCCACTTTCTCCTTCCTGCCTGGCAAACCAAACGCAGCCCCCGGCGCAGCACCCCCGCAGGGCAAGGCGATTCCGCTTCCCAGCACGCTGACCGGGGGCGCCGGGGCACGGGAAGGGGCCGGCTCACCGTTGATGGTGAACATGCTGTCTGTGTACAGGACGAGCTTGTCGATGTTCTGCGCCTTCGCCTGTGCGACGGCCCTGCAGGCGGCCTGGAACAGAGCACCCGGGCGTCAGGCTGCGCGCGGCACCGGCCCCGGCGTCCCTGACATTCAGTCACTTCGAAACGTAAACGTCCCTTCCTTTCTTGTGCGGACTCTAATGTCTATATTCTCTGTGGAATAATGCTGCCTGTACAATTCTGTTGACACATCTATTTGAAGCGTTTCATAATTTTTCTAGAAAACGCCTATCCTTCATAGTTGTTACTAACCCCACGCTAAGTTTCTTCTGAACTTTGAGTATCTTATACATAGACAATAAAAAGTGCATAAATGTGTTCAGAGTCAATGCTAAAGATGGAACTGTAACTGATAACTTACGTGAATTTCTGCTCTTTGGTTGGTTTGTCGCCCAGGAAGTCTAACACCTACATTTCTGGTTTCAAAATAGTAGAGAAGAGAATAAAATTATAACAGGCTAATACATATTGTTTTCTGAAATATGAAAGCATCCTATAAAAACGGCCTTCAAAATCAAACCCACAACACTAGCACTTTACAGAAAACGCCACATACGCTACTGAAAAAGGAAACCAAGGTCAGAGAGTTCATTCTGGGCGGAAACGCGGGAGCATGGGGCCGGGCCGGGGCTGGCACCGAAGCTGGGACGCTCGGGGCACGCGAGCTCGCCAGCAGGCGAAGGGCTCGGGGAGGAAGACCCAGCGAAGCCCTGCACACCACGCAGCTCGAGAGAGGCACGCAGCGGAGTTTTCAACGAGCAGCTTCCGTAAAACAAGCCCGGCCAGGCCGTGGGCGCTGCAAACCGGGGACACTGCCCGCCCGGCGCCCGGCTGCTCCCCCAGCTCCCCCGCCCCCGCGGCGGCTGCCCCGCCCTGGCCGCACGTCGCCCGCCACGCACTCTGGGCGCCTCTCGCGCTTTCAGGACAGTCCTGGCGACAGGACGGGCAGCAAGTCCTGTGACCTGTCCCTCCCTCTTCACCCAGCCAAGACCATCTCCAGGGACACCTGGGCCTCTCACAGGGCAACACGTGGGCCACTGTGGTGGGAAACCTTATCGGCCCGACTCGGAGACCCGACTGGATCCGGGTGGGGGAGCAGCGCTGCGGAGCCGCCTGTGACCGCGGGAAGCGCGGCTGTCCCCCGGCAGCCCGGCGACGGGCAGAGCCTGGCCACCCTCTCAGCAGTTTTAGAACCCGGCCCGGTGAGAGCGGGCGAAAAGCCTCCGCTCTGCTTGTTCACTCACAGCGGGTGGCCGGGCCCCCAGTAAACACCGATCCCTGCGCGCGCCCTCCTGCGCCCGTTCCTGGAGCAGCAGCCGTCGGTGTAGACCACGACGTGTTCTCCTGTGGGAGGACGAGCAGTGAGCGCGTGCGGCCGGCCCAGCACTGCCAGGCGCTGGCGTTCCCCCGACGCCTACTGCCGCGGGGTCGGCACGTCAAACTCTGGGCGTATTCTCCCCCTCTCTAGAAGTTTCTTATCGAAAAGCATTATCGCTTCTCCACCCAGGGGCACCCGACGCCTTCTGCCTGGGCTCCACGCACGTTTGGGTCCCGCTGCCCAGGAAGTGCCGCTGCAGCCCTGTGGGGTCGTTCACTCCCGGAGCCGCGCCGCCTGACAGGCGGCCCCTGGCCCGGGGGGCCCTGCCAGCTGGAAGCCCAGGGCCTCTGACCAGCGCTGGTCTGTTTTTCTCAGGGTGCCTGCCGCCTACCAGCCGGGCGCTGCCTGGCTTTCCTCCATCAAAACAGAGGGCGTGACCGACACACCCACGCTGGAAAGAACCGGGTGAGGAGGACGGACAGGGCACCGCCCTCAGGCCACTGGTGACCAGCGGGACCCTCGGCAGGGCGGCAGCAGAGGTCAGGAGCAGGGGCGCGGGAGCAAACGAGGTGACGTGCGGATGGGGCATCTGTCAGGGGAGGGCAGGCTGGGCGGCAGTGGGGCCCGAGGGCGCGGGAGTTGTGCCTGCTCAGGTCAACTGGACTTGGCGCTACCGACGCGCCCGCCAGCCTCCTCCCTCGCCACTGCCCGTGCCAACTGCCAGCGCCTGGCCCGCGGGTGTCACCGTGCCTCCAGCCACGGCCAGAACCCTGCAGATGGCTCATCCCCAGCCACCCACAGCACCTGCTTCCACTCCTACTGGCGACGGCCAGTCACGAGCCCCCGGAGGGGTCAAAACTGTCACTACAACCCAGGCTGACACAGTTCCGGCACCACCTGGCAAAACGTTTTTTGACTTAACTGTAAAATGGCTTCTTCTTGGGGGAAAACGTGGACCTACAAATACACTGACTTGGATTTTTAAAAAATGCTACTTGCTCCTACTCTCTGTTCACACACATGAATGACAAAACGGAGACCTAGACCGTAAGTAACCGCAGCAGGCGGCTCCTGGCTGGGGGCGGGGGACATGCCCACGGCAGTGTCCCCGCGGGGGGCTCCCCCCGGGCCTCCCTCCGCGGCAGACACCAGAGTCGCCGCGCTTTCTCTCGGGGACCTGGAATGCTGCGCGCCGGGGGGACGCGGGGGTTTCTAAAGGTCAGTGCCTTCCCCTTGGAGCCCCCAGAACGGCTTTCCTACGAATGTCCAAAATTGTAATAATTCTGTACCATGTGGTCAATTACAAAACAGTAACTTGAGAGATGTTTAAGTGCCCCTCAGACAAGAATGATGTTAACACATCAGCTCTAATTCCCCCCATTAAAAGACGGAGAGAAGCTTTTCCGCATGCAGTTTCACTGCGTATTAAAGATCAGCAGGCCCAAGAACGCCATACCCGCGTAAGAGAACGTGTCCTTGCTGACAGGAGCCGCCACTTCCACATGCAGTTTCCCGAGCTTCGCGCGCGGCTGGGGGGCGTCCTCTTCACCCGCGGCGGGGGGCTCCCGGGGCCGCTTGCTGGCTTTCACTCGTGGCTCTTGCGCACACTCATCTTTCTGCCCTGAAAGACAGAGTCTGCTTAGAAACCGGAGACAATGAACCCAACAGGAAATGACCAAGGACCCAGAAATGCAGTGAGTCATTTCATGTCGCCAGGTCCGACTTAAACACCCCCGTGCGTGGCCCGGGGAAAGGAGAGACCGAAGACAGCCCACCCAGCTCAGGCTTCGACGTCCCATGAACTTGTGCTGAACTCGCCAGGATACGCTTGATAAGGGCGATGTGCAGACAAGAAGGCTTCCGTTATAAAAATAAATCTGGTTTTGATGCAGACGGCAGAGAAACCAAGGGTTATGAACCCTTCATCTGAGAGCGAGCGTGAAAACCTTAGGGGCTCCTTCTAGAAAAAACAAAGACCAAAATTTTGTACAGAAACTAGGGAAGCAGAATCAGGAGTGGAAGCGGACGCTGTGGCCGAACTGCTCCGACTGCACGACAGGGCCCCGAACGGGTGGCGAGGGGCCTCGTGCGGGCGAGCGGTGAGCCGCCTCCCGGTGAAGACGCGGTGAAGGCTGTTGAAATGACAGAGGATTTAGGACACGACACGAACTTGGCCGCTGACGGGCGGCAGGCGTGTCGGGGACTGACTGGTTCTGAAAGCAGCTCTGCAGGCAAAGGGCTCCCCGGTGGCATCGCGCGCCGAAGAGAAGCAGCCCGCGAACGGAAGAGCGCCTCACTGCGGCAAGCGCCACGGGCCAATTTTAGGAAACCGCCCCCGCCTCCCGCCTCAGTGACCGCCCCACCACACAGCCGGCTTCGACGCTGGGCGGAGACCCGTCGGCGGCAAAACGTCACGGCCTGCTGAGGGCTCGGATGATGGTGGGCAGAAAAGCGTTTTTAATCAAGGCTTGTACGTTGTTTTTTAGGCAGAACGCTATTGTGCACTCAGCAGACTGCAGTACGGCGTGAACGTGACCGTTACATGCGCCGGGAGGCCAAACCCACGACGCACTTCGTCGCGGTAGCTCAGAAGGGAACCTGCGTCTCCGAGGTGTGCGTGCGTGCGTGCGTGTATGTATGTGCGCAGATATGTAAAAGTTACTAAGAGACCTCTGTCAACTTTTGAAAGTAGGTTCAGAGACATAAATAACTAGCTTGCCTGAACATTTAAAGCTCTTAATAAACAAACACATTCTTGTACTGAAAGACTTGAGATATGAGTAAGTCACTAATTGGTTAAAACAAAATGCCTGTGAACAGGAACTATCAAGAACCCAGCCAAGACAGGAGCCATACTTCCAAACTTGCTTTGTGTCCCAAACTGATCTCCCCACCTCAGCCGACCACGTGACTGTCTCATCAGCACGCCTTTTAATGCAGCGGGGGAGCGGGAGGGCGGAGGAGGTGCACAGGCTGTGCCACCTCTCGGGTAGCTTCCTAGCCCCGCCCACTGCCCCCTGAACTCGGCTTCACCAGTGTGACTAGGGCATGGGAGAGGGGCCGCTGTTCGATGCCTGAACATCTAGCGGCTCTAGAGACTATTCCAAACAAGCTGATTCCAGCTACCTCTGCTCAGTCTTGATCTACCATAGCAAAAAAGCTCTGTGAGTACAGTTAATGGAAAAAAACACTTCTTTGAGATAGGGTTAAGGTCTGTTTTTTAAAATACTGTACTCTAAAGCAGAGTCACTGTTCATCCTGCAAACCTGATGTCCCTATGGCAGGCCTGCAGCTTCAGCCAACTGTCCTTTCTGTAACACGTGACACCGGAGCCAACGCCGATCGTGCAGCCGTCTTCGCTAGCAAGGGAGCCCTCCAGGCGCACGTGGCGAGAGGAGCTACGCCCCTCACTCCGCCGCTGCAGCCCGTCCGATCCCTTAACAAGAGCAGGTGTGTCTTCAAAGACGCGCTGACGCCAGGGCAGTGACCAGAACCAACGAGAGAGCCGAGTGCCGGCTCGTCTCTAACACTGTCACTGACAAGCCCGGTCAGGCAGGACAGAGTCAGCGAGGCACGGAAGGGAGGGAGATGCGCCCGCTCATTCACTCCGCAGTCCCGAGCCTGGTCAGGTAAGATCGCCAGGTGTTCCGACGCTAGCGCAGCAGGTGGGGAGCCCTTGAAGTTCTGTGTGGACCATTCCCACCATCTGGGAAAGAAAGCCTTTGAGACTGTGTATCCACCCCAAAGTCTGGGGAGAGGACCGCGGGGAGGGAACCCAGAAGCTGGCTGCAAACACAAAGCCCCTAAAATCCCAATAGTCAGCTCACTCAGACCAGCTGGGTGCCGCGTGCAGCTTCGTGCTCAGCTGCATTTCATAAATAAACTTGTTAGCTCATTTCCACTCTATGTGTTGCGTTGTTTCTCGCCTGAATTCATCTTTTGCGAGTGAGACAACCGAGGAGAGGGAGTCCCCTAACTTGGGTCTCCCCAGTAACAGACCCACTAAGCTCAACTGCTCTCAGCCTGTGTCCTGGTCTGTAACACGGAGAAACGTCAACAATCACATCCTCTCTTTCTGCTCATTAGCTAGCCATACAGACCAAGTGACAACTGGGGCAGGGAAGACTCTGGACAGGCTGCAAGAGCACAGGGACGGGAGCCGTGCCCACCTTGTGAGTCTTGGGGGCTCCCAGAGTTCCGGACGAAGGCCCAGGCTTCCTTTTCCGTGGCAAACTTCTTGAACCTGGCAGCAGGAAAGCGGTCCACCTGCGCTCTGCATTCGTCCCTGGAACAGAGGGCAATGTCACTCCCTCCCCCTTCCTCCGTGCCGCTCGCCCTTTCTAGGTGATTCTCTCCCTGAGTTGGGACTAGCCTGAGAAGGCAGGGCCGCCCGCTCTCGGGGGCAGAGCCACGCCTCCCTCTGTGCGGTTTCATCTCGCGTGCCCAGCCCTTCCACATCCTAGAAGCCCACCCGCACTGCAAGCCGCTCCTCGCACTCAAAACAAACCACGACCCTGGGGTCTCCGGAGGAACAATGTTAACGGCCGCTTGCGCGGCAGCGCGGCCCGCTCACCAGGTCAGGAAGACCCCGGCCTTGCGGCCCCTCCTCACGGCGTAGAACATGCCCGGCCCGCCGCTGCTGCAGCGCACGACGGCCACAGCGACTCTGTGCACGGCGCTCAGGAGCCCGGTCATCCCTCACTCCCGGGCACCGGCCAGCATCTTGCCTCTCGGCTTCGCGTCTCCAGCCGGTGGACCAAACTTCCGGCGGCGGCGCGGAGCGATGACGATACACTCGGAGTGTGCAGGGTCGGTGGGCGGGACCTAGAGCCAAGCGCTGTTCAGGTTAGTCAATTTCAGGGAGGTGCAGCTGGGCTGGGCGGAGCCGGGCGGGGCTGGACGGGGAAGGCTCTGGGGCGGGGCGAGGGTCGCTGGGGGCCTGGGGCGGGGCCTGGGGCGGGGCCTGTGGGGGCGGGGCCTAAGGTGTGCGACGAGGCTGCGGAGAGTCGGAGCACTAGGGAGCGGAGAAGGCTCTGCGCGGCAGAGGCGGGGCCAGGCAAAGGGCAGAGCCTATGGCGGGGCGCCATCTATCGCGGTAGGCTGGAGCCGGGTGGACGGGGCCTTGTGTGGGCGGGGCCTGCGGGTGTGGGCGGGGCCCGGCTCCCTCCGGGGCCGAAAGACGGTGGGGGCTCGTGCAGGAGAGGTTTCCCGGGCCGGGAAAACTGCTGCCTGACAGCTGCCCCTCCCTCCCCGCAGCGTGATCTCGAGGTCAGAGCTACTTAGGACTTGCTTTCCCAAGCTAGTCAGCTGGCTGTGGCCGTCCTTTATCACAGTGATGGCCTGCGTTTAACATTTCAAACAGGGCAGTGAGAACTACAGGTGAAATATTTTGTCAGAGTGCAGGTTTTAGTTGACACATTAAATGTTTTACTAAGTTTGAATAATGCCTTTAAAATTGAAATTTACACTTAAGATTTAATTATTGGTTGTAAAAAAATGAATTAAGAAAATGATCACAACTGATTAATACATGGTTGTAACTAAGACTTGTTGATGGGACAAGGGTGTTGATAAAATAACCCGCAAAAGGAATTAAAATAATTTTCACTGCCCTGGCTGGCATGGCTCATTGGACTGAGTGCCGGCCTGCGAACCAAAGGGTCGCAGGTTCGATTCCCAGTCGGGGCACCTGCCCGGGTTGAGGGCCGGGTCTCCAGTGTGGGGCATGCGAGAGGCAATCATACACTGATATTTCTCTCCTTCCCCCTCTCTAAAAACAAATACAATCTTTTTTAAAACATGTTAGAAGACATTTTAAAAAAAGAAAATGCCTATGGGCATTTTAAGTGCAATCTTCCAGAGACAACGTACTTTTATTATTTATTTAACCAACCGCCTTACAGGTGCTCATTCTGGTCCAGCTAAAGTGACCTGTCACCAAGAGCAATGCTACGAAATTCTGATACCTTGCAGATGTTTCAGCAAAGCTTTGTCAAGTCTCTCCAGTTTCCCTGTTGGCAAATGGGGATGAATTCGCGGGTGCGAAAACATCCGGATGCGAAGGCCTCAGGAGAACTCGATGGGAACACACTCGAGAACCAAGGGCCAGACGTGCAGCAGTGCGCTGAAATCACTCATTCCCCCAACGCTCTCCCGTTCCCCGGTCCCTGAGCTGGGAAGTTCACAAACACTGACTTCAGGTTCCAGCTATAACTTACTAACTGTGCAAATCTGGTGATTTGCTTAGTCTCTTACCGCCTTTGAAAAACGGAGCCCGTGACGCTGTGCCTGGTGGCTGTGAACGAGGACTATGTGTGACGTCTTACGTGGTCTGACACATGTATGCTCATGGCCACGCTAATCCTTTCCATCCTCCACATGTTTCATGAGTCTCGGTGGGAGAATGGTGTTGTTTTTAATGAAATATACTGAAGATGAGCAAACGATCAGTTTATGGCAAAAACGTTACTCGTTCTATATTTTAAATGGTCAGCATAAGAAATATTCAACCCTGTAGAGAACTTTTGTGAATTCGAGCCAAACTGACAATTGCTGAAACAAAAATCTCAACGGATTGAGAAATGCTCCAGAGAACAGCAGGTTTGCATCTTATTTTATATGTTACAATCCAAGGAGGAGGCACGAGGGAGTTCCATGAAGTTCACTGGTGACAGCTTAGGGAGGTGGAAGAAAGCAAAGGTAATGGGGAATCCCTGAGACTGGATAAAAAGTAAAATGAAGAGAAAAATACTTCTTTTACGTCGGTGGGTAACACGATAACAGTGACAATGAGGGTTCAGGACGGAGTGTCTCTGCGACAGCACGGCCGAAGGCGGGCACTTTCCCAAAGCAGTCGGCCACCCCAAATCCCTCATCACAGCATTCCCTCCTGGCTTTCGGATCTCGCCCCACTAACTCTGCTGTCCTGACCGCAGCTCACGTGGGGTCCCCCGCTGCGCCCCTAGCCGGGGTCACCGGCCCCGCACCCGGCCCTCCGCCCCTGTGGGTCCTGACCCCAGCCCCCAGGACAGGTATCTGGGAGACAGCTCAGCCGCGCCGTGGAGTCCAAACGAGAGCTAAGTGTTTATGGCCCGAGAAGCACGTTCATTCCTAAGGCACTACGGTTTCAAAGAGCTCTGCGAAACCCCATCCCATTTGGTTCTCCACAGGCCGAACCGGAATCTGGGTCGGACTGCATTTCATTGCTTCAGTGCGGAATTAGTGTCTTCGGGTGGTTGGCCTTTCCTAAACGTCCTATCGTCGGGGGTGGTTGAAGCTGCTCTCCTCTATCCCAGTCTGCCGTCCAGACCCTGCCCGGGAGCCCGGCCGCCGCTCCGAACCTCGGAGCCGCGGAGGGGAACTTCCGCGAACGGCACCGAAACAGCGGCTCCCACGGCGGAAAAGTGGTACGAGAGCACCGCTTCCCGGAGCCTCTTTCCGGGACTCTCTGGGCTTTACCGTATCTCAGTGGTTCTTCCGATTCCTTTAGTTCCCGCCTCTTCCTTTCCGCCGCCGGGATTTGACGAGCTCTCGCGAGACCTAGGCCTCTTCCCAGGCCGGCGCTCACACAGGTTAGTATGGGGCCTGCTCTCTGCTGGAACTTTTTTGCCACTTTTGAGGGTAACACGCGTTGAAGTCATCCCTGGAGCGGAGGGCCCTGCTCACCGGGGGGAGATACGGCGGATAACGCGGCGTGTGCCCCCCGATGGCGTGGGTGGAGTGGGCCGGGATGCGGCGACCCGCGCAGCCTAGGGCTCTCTGTGCTTCCAGGAGACGGCCATGTTCAGTTCGAGCGCCAAGATCGTGAAGCCCAATGGCGAGAAACCAGACGAGTTCGAGTCCGGCATCTCCCAGGTGAGGGGCGGGGCTGTCCGACGCGGGCCCCCCGTGTCGCGTCCCCGGCGGGCGGCCGCACGCGGGTCGCTGAGGTCGCCTCCGCCCTCTTCCCCAGGCTCTGCTGGAGCTGGAGATGAACTCGGACCTCAAGGCCCAGCTGCGGGAGCTGAACATCACCGCGGCCAAGGTACGGCCGTGCGCGCGGCGGCCGCGGGGGCGGCAGGCCTGGGCCGGGGGGAAGCGGCTCGGGGCGGGCCGGGGCTCGGACCTTCGCAGCGGCGCGGGTTTCCTTCCTTTAGGAGATCGAAGTGGGTGGCGGTCGGAAAGCCATCATCATCTTTGTGCCGGTTCCTCAACTGAAGTCCTTCCAGAAGATCCAGGTGCGGCTGGTCCGCGAGCTGGAGAAGAAGTTCAGCGGGAAGCACGTCGTCTTCATCGCTCAGGTGGGGGCGGGCGCCCTGGCCTGGGCGGCCCCCGGGGCCACGTGCGCGGGACAGTTGGGACCAGCCCGCTGGGACCGCGGAGCGACCGGGGCGGGCGCCAGGGAAGGCGCGCTGGGGGGCGTTAAAAAGGGGAAGCGTGCTTGTCGCTGCTTGTGCTAAAACTAAGGCTGCCCGATCTTGCAACGGCGAGAATGGGGTCGCTGAGCGCGGTGACAGGAAGGCGCCCAGCGTGGTCTCTGCCGCGCGGGTGTTCGGCGGGGCGGATGGACGGGTCGGGGCGATTGTCCCGGATGTGTCTTCGAGAGGGGTTTGCCTTTTCCAAGGTTGCCCTCGTCCTGTGAATGTCTTTGTGACTGTAAAGTGGTTTCGCCGTGTGTTCTGCCAACCTAAAGTCCCTTTTGCTGTTGCCGCACTATTCTCTCTATCTTGCAGAGGAGGATCCTGCCTAAGCCAACGCGGAAAAGCCGCACGAAGAACAAGCAAAAGCGTCCCCGGAGGTGAGTCCTCTGGGCATCAGCAAGGCCTGACCCCCTGCTGCTGGCAGCCGGTGACTGGCAGGGGCTGTGGGGGCCGTGCCCGCGGGGTGTTCATGGGGTGGCGGGTTCCCTAAGCCCCGTTGGCAGGGTCTGGAGGTAAGAGTCACGGATGGGCGCGGGCACAGCAGGTGCAGCGGCGTGAAGGGTCCCAGCTGCTGGGAGCGACGGGCAGGCTCCCTCAAGCGCTGGGCCAAGCGTGGGGGCGGTGAGGAGGGGTCCTTAGTGCAGGGCCCACCGACAGTGGAGGGGCGGCTGGGGGCGTCGGCTCTTCCTTTTTATTTTGTTGTGAGTTAAGGCTAAGTCGGGTATCTGCGGACACGGGTGGACATGGTGCGTGAACGTTGACCGGCGGGTTTTGTGCACAAACTCCGACGCTGCTGGGAGCCGACTCCTCGGTCAGGCCTCCTGGGCGTTCGCTGGAGTCCGGCTGTGGTGTCACAGACGTGGGGACGGGTCCCTGCAGACCCTGCCCAGGGCCCGATTGAGGCAGCACAGTCTGGTGTCCCTCTGAGTGCCAGGTGAGCCGCTGTAAGGAGCGTGCAGTTTGGATTATTGTTCTTATTTAAAGGTGGGGAAAACTGGGTCTCTATTTAAAAGTAAATGAAATGTAGAGAACTGACCCCGGCCCAGAGAGCGGGGTGGTCGCGTGGGGCTGGAGTAGGAAGCGAGGGCCTGTCTCCGAAACCCCAGAGTGTGGGGAGGGCCGGGGGCCGGCATCGGGTTTCTGGGATGTGAGGTCTAGGGATCTGCATTTCGCACTTCTCTTCCGGATAGTTGGCGTAGCGCGAGAATGGTAGGTAGTTTGCAAGAGAGCAAACGCAGGGGAAAATTGAGCATTCTGCTTATTAATCGTGACACCTGAAAGCGCTTTTGTAATCTGTTTTCTGAGCACCCCACGGATGCCTGAGGGTGACTGCAGAACCTCGGCTTTGCGTCCGGCTGAGGGACTGGCTCCCAGACCTGGGGTCCCCGGTTC